CTGAAATGTATGGAAATTTTCTGATTGAGCTTGCTTAGGTTTACTAATTTGTAGGTGTACTAAGAAGGCATATCTGAAATCAGAATTATGCCAGAGTCTTTGTTGGGTCTCAGCACATACTATCAGGCAATAGCAAGTGTGTTGTTTAGTTTCCCCTTCATAACAAGATTTGGGTAAAAACCAACTATGAATATGATTATTAGGTTGGGGTTCTTTTGTGAAATTCTGTAAGAACATTAGGCACTTTTTATTGGAAAACACGAACAGATAGCAGGCAGATGACCTGAGATTTTACCTGTTGGTTCAGTGAAGAGCAATCTTTGGAGCGTCAGATCTAAAGACAAAGATACAGACTTTGAGACAGCAATCTCTGCTTGGTTTGGTGGGTGAAAAAAGCATCCAAAGATCTTCAGAGGCTCATTCACATCTCTCCTTATTGTTCTGGAGAAAAGAGAAGAAGAAACAATGCACCATGGGAGTGATCAGCCTTCTGAGTAATGCTCACAAGGGAGGTGGTTCGTTGCCAAAATGGTATGACTGGTGCAGCCAACTTAGAGGAAGAACAAAATTGTACTGAGAGCATCAGTGATCAATTATTTATCGTCAAAAGAAAATAGAGAAGCTGGCCCACATTGTGAAGCTACAGCATGTATTCCCCAAGAGAAACCATTACAGGAGTATGGACAGCTAGTAAAGGAGGATTGCGGAACTCAGGTAATAGTCAAAATAACAGCATCTAATAAAATTGTTACACAAGGTTTTGAAAAGCTTGTATGGAAAGGACATCTTGATGTTTGGCCTAGGATTTCTACAACTGAAATGAGTTATTTTGTGTTACTCTCAAGTTTGCAATGCAGTCTCTACCTTGTCACCTTCTCTGCTGCCAGTGGTAGGCTGAACAGGAGACAGCAGAAGTGCATCTGGTCAAAAGTGACACTGCGAGTTGAGACTGTGAGTGGGGGAGAAAGAGAATGAGAAAGAGAGAGATCATATATTCAACCAAGCACTGGTTGTGGTCTACAAAACCTTCTCCAATGTTACAAGACAATCACTTCCTAGTATCTGGCCACATGTAAGTTTGCCTTGGGATGGGGAAGCATCAGAAGCCTGACTTGACTCCCTAGTGCTACAGACTGCCACTACCTGGGTCCTTATTACACAGCCCATCAAATACTCTTTGCTGATTGTAGAACTGCTGCACTTGGGGGAGTATCTGATGTGGAACCTGCGTTCAAAGCCTTATACCCAGGAGGTCTTCCCTTCATCAGTCCTGAGCCTTTCCCATTAGAGTGCTGTGGCTTTGCTACACAATGCCCATGGAGGACAACAAAGGCTCATCTGTTTTCTTCACATCTACCTGACTTGTTTTGTAGTGCTTCTATTGCATAGATCTCTTATTTGCTCCTTCTTTTCCTTTAAACAGATATTAGCTCTTCAGTACTTGCAGCAGAAGAGAAGGGACTAACTACGAAGACATATCTTATATACCTTATGTATTTGTAAGGAATTTAGAGATAGCTTGCATCAGAATTATAGTAATTGCTTTTCTAAACATTAGCATATAAAAATACAACAAATTATGTTTACTAAGTACAAGAAAATCTATTGTGGTCATGAAAACCTCTGAGACTAACTGCAGGTAACTGCAAATAAAGCCTGAATAGAAACATGCGAAGGAGCACACTGAAAAGCCTGACAATGAGTGTCCTTAAGAACTGTTGGTATGAAAATTCACCCACAGCATCTCCCCAGTAAGGCAAGTGTGTTACTCTCTTTCCTCCTTTTCTCCCATCCCCAACTGTTCCTTGTCAGCACTCTTCTGTGCTTTAGGCTATAGCAGTGGCTGAAAAGGTCGTGTTAATTTTCACCACCGCATGGATATGAGGCGATCAGTAACTGGAAGAAAAAATACTGTCTTTATTACTTGCGCTGTCAGATTAGATGCAAGAAGCGTCTGATCTTAAAGTTGTTGTGTGATAGAGTTTATAAATTGGTAGAAATCTGAAGACAGAGTGAATAGGTCACTGAGTGTAGTTTTAAAACCTGCTGTCATGTTGGATTTACAGAACTTGAAGACTTCTGGTAATAAACAAGCTTATGATGATTTGATAGCTGTTGTTGTCTTTCATAAGGAAAGCCTTTCCAGAGTTCATACCACCAGTGGAATACACTTTCAAAAGCCTTTTGTAAATATTTAGTCTGTTAATCTTCAGGATGATTTTAAATGCCACCTACCAGTACAATTTAACTTACTGCATTTTCTTTTCATTTACAGACATTATGGTAACAAGATAGGTCTCCCGGTCAGTGTTGTGTTTTCCTCATTATCTCAGCTTTGAGAGGCCTCATGCCTGGAACTTCATTACTTCATCTGATACTGTGAATCTTTATGCAGTTACTTACGTCTGTCTTTGGATACTTAGGTTTCCCAGCAAACAGTGTCTCCCTGACTTCTTCACAAATAAGCGTTCCTTGACATTTGACTGATGCGGTGACACAAATTTGGTGTAAATTATACCTCCTATGTCAGCCTGCACCCCACCGAGGTATCTTCTTGGGAGACCATGTATAGGCAGTCATATCAGTCTTCCCTCCAGATACAGCAGGTAGTTTCATTTATGCAGAGGTCCCTGGAGGAGTCTGAACAGCTGAGCTTTCCGAGGGCACGTCTTGAATTAGTGTCTCTTCTGGTAATGCTGCCTGAACTCCTTCAGAGGCAACACTGCTCACTGGGCTTGCTCTATCTGACTCATAAATAGACTCATCCCATGGCAGGGTGGGACCTCCATGTGGAAGATGACAGAGTTGAAGTCCTTGGCAGCCCGTGCTTTTGTTCCTGGTGGGCTTTGGCATCCTGAGCGTGAGGTGGGGCTGAATGGTGTTAGGTGCTTCCTTTAAAGCGTTATATGTGATTCTGGCTTATTCTACCTGTAGGTATTTTTGTTGAGCTAGGACACCAAATGTTTTGGAAATTGTATGGTGTGTTCTATGTTTTGTTTCATGAGAAGAATAGTCAGGAAAAGTATTAGAGAGTTAATCAGAAGGGACACTGCCATGCAGTATATGATGACTGTGAACATGGTGTAGGAAATGAAAGAGAAAATTAGTGTCTTCCTACAATTCAAGTTCCTCATCAAGGTGGATTAAATGTGGACTAATAATGTATTTCTGGGAAAATGCTATTTTGGGAAAAACAGAACAAAGAAACAAATACAATCTGAACTGTGAGGAAGAACAAAAGAAAAAAGCCCTATAAAATTTAATTTTATCATATCCAAATGAAACATTTCAATTTTCCATTTCCAAATCATATTTCAAGACCAAATTCAGTAGAAGGTAGAATAAAACATTTATCTACTGTTTGAATAAAATGTTATTGGAACCCCTTGTTGTTTTCCTATTTTTCATTTACCCAACCAAAATGAGTTTTTCCCTTGTTTTATGTGTGTGATTTGCTAGTTGAATTGAGAAAATAATTGTTTCTCACGTTCTTCTTCTCACTGAGTTCCAGGCATAGGACCGGATGCAGAGTATGGGAAAGTAAATGGTTTGGGAAAGAAAATAGGAGAGTTTTATCCTCAAACGAAGTAGCATTTATTTTGTATGACTGACCAGGGACATAACATAGTTTTGCCCCTACGAGTTTTCAGCTGGATTATGGGTGAGATTTAAATAATATGTTACTAAGCTTTAGGATGTAATAGCTTGTCTAAAAATAGGATTGGATTATTAAGATTAATGTAATCTTTGTGGCTTTTGTTATTATTTAGAATGCAAGACACTCAATCTATAGTTTTAGAATTGATGATATTTTCATATCCATTTCCAAGAAAAAGAAATGTTAAAAGGGTAATTCAAGCATCTGTTAAAATCCAGCAGACAACATTTTAGAAGTGAGTACATCCAAACAGCTCCATAGAGCAAAGGGTAAAACTTTTAAATTAAGGTTGTACTATGAGGGAAATTTTCTGTCACAGTTATTCTGTGTGCTTAGTTGAAACCTACATGAATTTCAGCTGGTTGGTTCTTCACGTTCAGCTCACTACACACCCTGAGGACTGCAGGACACATTTTATTTACGCTGATCATCAGCATCCCTGTTACACAATCTTGTTTTCTGACAGTTCCAAAAGGAAATTATAATTGTTTGCCCTTAAGCGTGACAGTAATATAGTATGATTGAAAACAAAAATGTGTCACTTCTTCATTGAATGATTTATATTTGATAAAAGGATATTTTTTCCCTCAGTGTTGTTAGCTTCTGTGCATTTCTTAAGCCCTAGACAGAGCTTTGAACCTTATTGATCATGTCACCAGCAGTCACTGAAGAAAAATACTAGTTACTGACATCAATTGCAATTATTTAGTTTACAGTGTTACAAGGGACATTATTTTTGCAGTTACAAAGTTTCATCTGATAATACAGTTTTTTGTGTATGTGTGTATACATAACATGAGGTGCTGGATCTGCGTGTTTCATAACCTTGTAGTTTCTGAAAACCAAACTTAGTGTGTTGGACTTAGATGTTTAAGAGTTTTCGCACTAAATTCTGTATGTTTCAAATCTGACACCAAAATTGTAGTGGTACATGATCCTCATGAATCCTTAGTTAACAGCCTTGTCTCTATCCCTACAATAAAATAGCTTTCGAGCTTGAGTTCAGCTGAGTAGTGTAATTTCAAACGAGCTTTAAAACAGCCTTTATGGGAAATCACACAACTAAGTACAATATTGATTTATCAGAACCCTCAAAGTCATGCTTTGGGGAAGATGGAGGGAACTGTTTTAGCACAACTTTTGATAAAATAAAGGCAATGTGCTCCAGTCAAGAAAGCAGGCCTTGTAGCCTCCTTAAGAATAAAGACATATCTGACTGCCTCAGATTGCTTGTGTGCTTGTGAAGCACAAGGCAGCAGACACACAAATGTAAATACCACATCATCCATTGAGTGGCTTGATGTATCTGTACCTGACTGAATGTGCCATTGATGTCTTTCAGAAATATCGACAGTATATGTCTGGACTTCTCACTCCTCCTTATGGTGTTATGGAAACTGGCTCCAACAATGACAGTAAGTATGAGAAAATAGACATCAGATGTTAGGAAAAAAGGAAAAGAGAAGAAAGGGGAAGAATGAAGTCCTCTGGGTTTGGGTGTTGGAATTTAAATGTTAAATTCAATTCAGTGTTACGATGGTATTAATACTGCAGGTCGTAGGAAATACTTTGGAACTTGCCTAACTGCATTCCCAACTGTATAAAAGTATACACAGAGCTGTACACAAATCTGCACTATGAGCCAGGCCTGTTGACTAAAGCACATCACTTCTGTAATCAAGGTACTCTTATTTAGTTGCCAGAGGATTATTTAGATGCCAACCAGGACAATATCTGATGGCTAGCAATTGTATCTGCAAATTTTGTCCCACATGTGTTCAATATCTTCTATTTGTGAAACTAGCATAGCATAGCATAGCAATGCTAGTTACTGCAAACTCAGTGTCACATTTGACTTCAGGTACTAAAGCACAGGTAATGTTAAATTAAAAAATATAAATGAATCCTATATATATACTTCAAATGTTGTTGTGAGAAAGTACTATGTTTAGCAAAGGTTTTATATTATTTACACAAGCTAGATTTTTGTCTTTTTTGTGTTCACAAGAGAAAACTTTTGTCTGAATAAATGTTTTGCTCTTAAAAATCATAGATTAAAGTATTGAACCCTCCAATTCCCTATTCTATTGATAAACATCTCCACTGTTACTTAACGAATGTGCAGTATGTATTTATTTTCTGTAATCTTTTTTTAGGAATGCCAGATAAGGACAGTATGTCAAGCAGTGCTCTTTGCCAGGTTTCTAAAAATTGTAATAAGGTAAATCACACCTAATTTTGACTTTGTTTTTTGATGGGGGCAGGGGATTTGGTAGTGAAAAATACAAAAGTACAGCATTAAATTGAAAAGAACCAGGTGCAGATGCAAGGCATGTGGTTGATGCATGTGAGTGCAGTATACAAATTATAAGGATGCTTTAGACATTGTATCATATAAATGGAGAAAGCAACTGGTTCAGAATCATCATTATTAGAAAATGTACTGCTGCTGAAGTTTGTGTTACAATCTGGTTGTCCTATCTTTGTCAGAAAGGTGCCGAGGGTAAGGAAGAAAAGCAGTACTGTGACAAGACCAGTGCATAGCCAATGGATCATAAAATTCATAATTAAATCCTATTTTAAGGCTTAACTGAGTCTTAACTGATGCATAGGCATTGTTCCAGCCCTCCGCTCAGGGTGAATTTTCTCCTGTGTTCAGAGAGCAGCTTTATGTCCTAGTTCCCCTTTGTAAAATAGTTCTGTGCCTTCAGTCTCACCAGATGAGGACCCACATGAAAGAACTCATTAATATTTCTATGCTGGTTTTAAAGTAATTATGATAGTGGGAAGAAATAGTGTCAGACATTGCTGTAAAGATTAATAACGTCAAGATTTTTTTTATGGCAGGAGTAGAAAAGTTACAGTAATAAATAGATGCTTGGATGCCTTCTTTCTGGACATAGGAGTTTAATTGGATGCATTTGTGTGATGCCTTTAAAAGGTTAAAGGTATTTCTGTTACGCAAAACCATCTCTGGACAGCAGATAAAGACCATGAATATTTTAGCGTGTTTCCTTAATGCAAAAATAACTACTTCCACCTCTCCCTGTCTGTCTGTCCTGCTTCCTCAAGGGTACTGACCTTTCTTAATTGTCACATTCTGCCTTTACTAAATGTATAAATGTAACGGCATGCAGATCCTTTTTCTAGAGTCATACTCACTAATGCTACACTACTTCCTGACACAGTCTTATCCTGTATGAAAATAAACATTTTTCCATGCACTGAGTAATAATTCTTAGATACCACCTTTCATTCTGTAAGCATTTTACAAAGTTATGAGTTAAGACTCAGTGCTTCTCTAAGACGTTGGCATTTCAGTGCTACACTTGGAGTTAAGCCAGATCAGGGGTCTTGCTTGACCTCTCAATGAAAGCACCAGGCATAGAATCCAAACTAAAAGATGGTGTTGTGTTTTCTGAAGCAGATAGAGGTAACAAGATAAAAACATCCATCTTTCCTAGGAGGTGATATCGCCCCAGTAATGGGCAGTGATGCTTAGCTAAGGATGATATACACTTCCAGGTACAAAGTATTTTAGAAACTGAGCAAAGTTTAGTAATTAATACTGCTGCCAATAGCTAGGCTTTTCTAGCACAACAGAACTCTTCCCGCACAAAGTAGTGTTAACCTGGGTAGGGGACAGAACTTGGCTGGGGCAGGCTCAAACTGTTCAATGACTTTTACAGGAATAAGGTCCTTTGCAAACCATATTAACTTCCTCTCCAAGGCACGTATATAAACCAGCCATCCTTCTCCCTCCCACACTGTATGCATTTCTGTGGAGCGAAGCTCAGAGAGTAAATATGTGACAGATGCTTGTCACTTTGTTTCATCCTGGAGGAGCTCAGGCAGTCCCATGATAAGTGTGGCAGAAGAACCTACACAGCATAGGAATGGTTCATGAATCCTAGTTCTCTGTTTTTTTGCCATATGGCTACAGTTCTCTTTAATTATGTTAAGTGAAAGGTAACTACGGCAGAGATAAATACTCGAGTATTTTGTTTATTGCATGCAAGCTTCATTCCCGCAGTTTTAAACTGTACAACTGTTATAGTGCTTACACAACATGTTGATCTTCATGCCCTGCAGTCAGTTTTGAATGATCAGGGAGATACTGGGAGTGCAGAGCCAAATTCCCAGAGTTGTTGCCAGCTATTCGAAATACGAAATAACAGGGTACCAGAAAACTGCCCTGTGTTTGTAGTTCTTGTATATTTTGCTTATTATAGGGTGATATATGGCTGTTAAAATGGCTACTGCATTAGCAAAGGGCATTCATCCAGGGAAAGGGAAGTGTTTGCAGGACGTCTTTAGACTACTTTATGTCTTTAGATTGCCAGAAGGATGCCTGTGGGACTGGCAGCAAATAGATCTCTGAGAGGCCTGCAGGCTACTCTGTAATGTCCAGAAAAAGACTGAGTGAGGAATTTTCTGAGATTCAGAGAAAGTTCCTCAAAATCTTTCATGTGGTAAGAAAACATTACACTCTTAGACAGAAGGAGATAAGATAACACAACATCTTTGGTAGTTTTGATCATAATGATGCATTTATTTCAGGAGGTATGTGTGTTTTGTTTTAATTTTCTAGAGAAGTTTATAACTACAAATAATTTGCTTCAAATGAAATTTAATGTATTCTGCTCCTGAAATTTGAAATGCATGTTTTTCTCTTTTAGCCTGTGCTGAGTCTTTTACAAGCACTGTAATAGACGATTTTCCGTATTTGCTAATTATTTGAGTTTCATCTTCATAGCTTAATTTTTTTCTCCTGTCACATCTATTAGTTTTTGATGAGTAACATTAGACACTTCTTTTAATACATGCCTTGAAATTTTCTCACCATATGGGGATGTTTAGTTTTCCTAGTTCATTAAAATCTATAAAAAAATTCTATTTGGAGAAGGCAGCAAAGAGATTTTCTTTCACCAAACATGAATTCATTTGCATTTAGGGTTACATTATTGCACATCATTTAATGCAATATAGTAGTTAAATTGAGCATAAAATACTGAGACAGAGTATGCTACTGTCCTCAGTTATATTTTGGAGAATGGAAACAATGTCAATTTAAAGCTGTCTTACATAAGGGAAAATAACACAGCTTTGGGCTTTTTAACTAGTCAGTCTAATATCTGTACACTGGTCTCTCAAGCTCTAGTTTTCAAAAATTCTCATGGGGTAGAGTTGGATATGGCTGGATCAGAGAGATGAATATAGCCATAAAGCCAGAATGACAAAATCAATAATAATTTCAAATACATTTTTGGAAAAGATACAGAAGAGTACTTAGAATGCAGGGGAGGTTGGGTTCCAGTGTGCAGACAGAATAGGTAGTGGTTCTGTTTCCATACATTACCAGCAGAGCTGGCAGCAGCGTTGCATGGTACTTCCCACTACAAGATCCTGTTCTTACAACTTGGCCACTTTTTCACTGTTTACACTGAATTTGCCATGCTGAGACTATGTTTCTGGCTGATGTTTAAATTGAAATGGATCAATACTCTCTGACATTGAGGTTGGGTACATCTGAATGGAAAATAAATAGTACATCTGAAATATCTTTTCCCAGTGAAATGCTAGCAATCCTGTCCTTTGGACTAGGAGCTCCACATTTGGGGCTGCTTCTAGCATCAAAGGGTACCATTTGCGACCTCCTACAAAATAGGCTGTATTGTTAAACCTTGAAAAATCTCAGTTGAAACTGGCTCACTAGAGGCTCATCACAGTTTTATGGCAAGCTTGTGCACACAGGCTGTGTGTGTTGCATGTGCAGAATTCCCACACTGTTTGTCTGGTCCTGGGCTGCTTGGTCATTCCTGTGTTGATGCTTAACGGTGTGGGTTTTCTCGCAATTGCTCATTCGAGTTGCTAGAACAACATTTTGATTATTATAAGCTAGACACTAACTGAAAACCACAGTTTTCTCCCCTGTGCTTTTACACCCTCTACTGGTGCTCAGGTGGGAAATGAGTAAAGAAATAGCCCATTCTTCTCAGGAGACATGAGATATATGATAGTTTTAAAGAAGAGGGCATTGCAGAAATGAGTTGTAGAGACACAGGAATGAATGTGATGAAGAACAGAGGACAGACCCGTGGAGAGCATGAATCTCTGCTCTCCTATGGAGTGCGGTGCTGAATGCTTTTTTGTGCTATCAGTAAATGTCTTAAATTCCTTTGCAAACTGTGGATGCTGTGCCTAAGACACCGTAGGAATGATCCACAGAAAGAATAGAAATCTCTGATTAGTAACAATTATTCTATTTATTCAAATAGTTGATAGTCAAAAAGTCTTAACCCTGCTAATGATCCAAGCTGAAGTTCTATATTGTTTTCCATAATGGAATCTCCATATTGCAGTTTGCTAAAAGAACCTCCAGATCCTAAAGAAACTACACAAAAGAAATTCTGCTTGAAAGGAAGGCTGAAAAATAAAGTGCCCAAAAGCAGAGAATTTCAGGAACAGGTTGCCCAGAGAAGCTGTGGATGCCCCCTCCCTGGAAGTGTTCAAGGCCACGTTGGATGGGGCTTTGGGCAACCTGGTCTAGTGGAGGGTGTCCCTGCCCATGGCAGGGGGGTTGGAACTATATGGGCTTTGAGCTCTCTTCCAACCCAAACCATTCTGTGATTCTATGACTTCAATTCTTTACAGACTTTGATTACCTGCTCACATATATTTTTCCTGTGACACACTCAATTAAAACAACATCTCACCTCAAAAAGCATGCTAGTTTTCTTTTTGTACAACTTAATCTTTATGACTGTTTAAAACCTACATAAATTTGTGTCTTCTTCATGGAAAGCGTACATCCTGGAAGGGGGGAAGTGCTTCTTCATCTTCTTTGTACTGAGGAAACCGTACTGAACACAGAAGATATAAGCAGATTAAGTTGTGCAAAATCATACAGTCATTCTTCCTATTGCGTGAAGGAGGTATCTTTTTTCTGAAATCTCTCTCATGCTGTATTTCCATTATGCTCCTGTATTGTCTTTAGGTTTCTATTGTGATAAAGAGTTGCAGGAGCTCCCTCTAGTGCACGAAGTAATATTCAAAAAACACAGGCTCGAGTTTGTGAAGCTTACAGGCTGAAACGTCCCCTTTACGTTTTTCATGTAATGACGCCAAATCCTCTAGATTGGAAACTTATTGGAAGTGATTTATTTGAAGATATTTTGTATAGCAAAGCTCCTATAGGATGTGCTGAAAGTCACCTTTTCATCCATCTTCTTCCCTGGTTAAATTGATGTGATAAAATGTAGATTCCTTTACTGTGTTTTCAATAAGGCTTAGGTGCTGTGTTGATTTAATAATTGGAGTGGTTTTGAAAGCATGATTTGCTGTTTTATCAACTGTAAATGCATTTAATAAAATTATATTGAAAAGATCTTTCAGTTGACAGAGAAGGACATAATCTAAGTGTTAATCCTCAAAATATTGCAATTTTCAACATTGCCGGGCAAATTCACCTTGTGAATATTCACTTATTTCAATTTTCAAGCACTTAAATATAGCTCTGGGCATTTGAAAGTATACTGTTTGTAAAGATGACACTACAGTTCACTAGATGCAGCCTTGAAGAGCCCACACAAGACACCAGTAATGATCATGTTCATTCACCGTATTAGCTACTCTAGCAATAAACACAATAATTTTACTTCTGCTTTCCCTATATTTCAATTTACTTTTCCCAGATGACTGAGAAGAAAGCTTGTCTTTTAACATATTCAGTAGATTGTCAAATGTGGAATTGGATAGAGCATTAGCAGAATGCTAAGGGAAATATTTCACATGCATATGAAATTGTGAGCCTACAAGAAAGAATAAAAAGAGAGCACAGGAAAGCAGGCAGTGTTCTAGCAAGATTATAGATGCAACAGCAAGGTGTTTGTTTGGAAGTGGTAACCTCTCCAACATTCACATGAAAACTGTTTTATAACAGAACTGATTTTCTATGTGGATGGTTTATATAACTGTCCCGTGATATGTATGCATTAATTCCTGTCCTCTCCTGGGCTCTGTGCCAGAGTCAGTTCTCCTACACAACGTTAGCATAGGGTTAAAAAAATAATTCCCTATCCTCTTCTGGTTTTAAAGTGGTTGCATAAAAGCACTATGTGCAAATATTTCTAAATAATGTCTTCATGCAGGCCTAACTGTACCAATTACTTTTAGGGGCTGCTCTGATATTTTGGCACCAATTTCACATATATGAAAGTAATTTGCTTAGAGGTCTGCTCAAGTTCTTCATTTTGCTCTAAGTGGAATTGCTCAGGGTTCAATCATTATCACAGCCTGTAACAATTTG